TCTCCCTTATGAAAACAGCTCAAGATTATCTTCTTATGATGTATTAAGCTTCTTCTGGCATTTTTGTTATGTTTGTTGATGATTATTATAGAGATGTTTGGATCTATTTCTGGCTTAAGTCCTACATATATTACAAAATTTGTATTAAGAAATAAATGTTAGTCTTTTGCATTAGTTAGAGCATTATAGAACAATGCTCTAAAATCTATGTAATTAAGGTTTTATTTGAGACAACTTTTTTTACTGTTAAAGCAGCTTTTTAGTATAAATTTTTTAATTTTTTTTTATTAAAAAACAACCTTAAGAAGCAAGAAAAAAAGCTTTCCAAATCAAGTCTAAGATTTTATTTGGGATGGCTCTCTTATTACTTCTTAAAACAATTTTTTAATAAAAAATTAATTTAAAAGCTGTTTTAAGCAATCAAAAAATCATCTCAAATGAGAGAAATTATTCTGTGCGGAGGTCAAACGCAGAACGTCATCCGGAGATGAACCAGAATGTGTCACGTCAGTGGTATCAAGCACTACCTAGCCGCGGTATCGAGCGAAAGGGTGACATGACGCATTATTATTGGTCTCCAAAAGACGTTTCACATCCGCACAGAAAAATTAATCCTCAAACGAAGACTTCTTTTGGGATAATTTTTTTGTTACTTTCTAAAATAATTTTTTTGTACAAATTTTTTTAAAATTATAAAATTTTATACTAAAAATTTTTATGCGTCTCGATTTATTGATGCGGCTGAACGCAAGGCTGTTTGCTATCGATTTTGTTTCATCCTCTCCCTCATAACTTTTGGTCATCTCTCTTCTAATTTACTCTCTTCTAATTTACAGCCAAAATCTATTTTGTCTACTAATATGAATCTTTTAATTTATAGCCAAAATCAGTTTCCTAAAACTGTTATTTATAGCCATCACTTATACAATACAAAACAAAAGCATTACGAAATGGTCACAAAAATTCTAAGACGGTGGCCAGAGATAGGGGCATCAATTTCGGGTTATGAGTCAGGTTCAGGTCGAATCCGGAACTGACCCAGCATCATTCGGGTCAATCTGAACCCGGCCCATTTTTCACAAACAGGTCATTTTTTAGACTCGAACACGACCTGCTTCGGGTTCGGATCAACCTGACCCGACCCGCGGAATCGATTGATATCTCCGGAGCAGAAGCTGGAACTCCATGTCAGTGATCGTAGCATCAGAATCAACCCACCAAAGCCACTTGGTTTCCGGATGGTTGATCAGGCAGCATCGATGATGTGGAGCAGATCGAAGCGGACAACGAGACCGATGGGGAGGAGGAGCCGGGCATACCGACGCGAACGACCATCCTGACATGATGTGACAAGACAAGACGCAGAGGCAAAGTTGAAGCTTGATGTGATGTTGGATGACGATTGAAGCGGATTGCTGAGCTGACTCAGACGTGGTTTCCGAGTCAATATCGGCTTTTCGGGTCAACGGTGGTCAGAGTTGTGTGTTGGTGACAGCCCGACGGAGGTCCAGCAGCGTTCGAAGTCTTGGTGGAAGTCCAGTAACAATCGACAATCGGGCTATGGTATGACGATAGTTAAGCGGAAGTTCGACGGTTGTTGGTGACCGGGTGGAAGTTTGGCGGTGAATGGCGGCCGAGCGGTGGTCCAGCGATGATCGGTGGCTGAGCTGTGGTTCGATGATGGTCGATGGAAGTTTGCCGACAATGGTGCCAGGTTGGAGCTCTAGATCTTTGAAGTCTCAAAGCTCTTCCCAGTCTCTAGCAAAAGGTCCAAGCCCATTCCTCTTTCAGGTGAGAAGTGAGGATCTATTTTTTAAATTTTTTAGATTTATATGCCCCATAAATATGAAGAAGATCTGAGACAAATTCGATCAAACGGCCCCTTTTCATGATTTATAAGACGAACTTTTTTCTTTAGAAATCATTGAATTTATTTTTTTTTATTGCCATAACACTGAAAAAGGCTATATAATAGCACAAAAATAGGATTATCTTATCCCTACCGCTACATCCTTCTTGTTTTCGAAAAATACATATTGAATATGCCCCAAAAAAGTAATTACTAATTACTTACATAATATTTAAAATTAATCTATTTATAAAATTTACATCCTCTTATCTTTAACATCTGAATTATCATTATAATTAGGGATGTCAAAATAGGTCAATGGGTCAGGATCAGGTTCAACTCTGACTTGAAATCGAACATATCCCATTTTGATTTAAAAATAATAATTACTTTTAATCATAATTTCAGATTAATTAATAAAAAATAAGATAATCATACCAAAATATAAAAAAATTTAAGATAAAATAATTTAAACGTGTCGTATTTTGTTAAAATCTAGTTGAAGGGTCAACACAAACCAAGGGGTGTCAAAATGGGTATTCCGGTCGGTTTGGGTCAAACCTGAAATTGACCCCTGGATCAATTCAACTGACCCGAACCCAACCCGGCTTTGCAAACTGGTTAGAAATTTAGACATTGACCTGACCCACTAGGTTACCGAGTTGAACAGACTCGACTCGCTAACCTGAAATGCAGCCATGCTCAAACGAGTTCCGGCTCGAGCACATGTGGTGGCAGGGGGCCCGAGTGAGTGCGAGCGAGCGCAACCTATGCAAGTGCAAGTGTCGGAGCAAGCAAGGCTCCAAGCGTGGGAGAGGGCAAGGGCATGGGTTTAGTGTGGGCACAAGTTCGGGTGCCCACGCGAGTGCGGGAGGGCTAGCTGGGGAGTGTTGGACAACGAGAGCATTGCGGGCGGGATCACTACAAACTAGAGATAAATCGTGTCATTTTTTGTGTTGATTTTGTATTTCCGAGTATACCTGAACCCGATACAATTTTAGAAACAAATTAGAAAATAAAACATAAACCCGACCGGTCTAACAAATGGGTTCTATATTTGACACCTCTACGTAAACCCGACCCATTTATTAATCGGATTGAGTGGAACTCTTGTCAGGTTGATGGGCCAGATCATTTTATTTTACATCTCTAATCAAGATATCAAAATTAACAATAAAATCTCAATCAATATTTTCATTTTTATTAAATTCCTTAAAATTTAATCGTATCACATGGAAACGCACTAACTTTATATATATGAAAACTTTGTAAATATTAGGTTTTATATATGTAATTCCCCCCCCAAAAAAAAAAATCAAAAGTTGATGATTGGCAAATTTGATGCGTTCATGACAAAGCATCCAAAACTTTACAGAACACCCGCATCATCTTTTTGCTTAAAGCTATACTTAGGAGCATTTGCTTTTTTTTCTTTTTTTTATGGGACAAATTTAATTATAATTATTAAAAATTTATCTAAGTTACATAACAGTTCTTTGTTCGTAAATACTCAAACAGCAAATTTACAGTCAAAAAATAAAAATTTTCATGAGATAAATCCAACAAATTAAGAATACACTCATACAAATTCAAAATGAGATTAAAGCTTCGCTTAGGACAATTTCTTACAGCTTCTTAAAATAATTTTACTCCAAAAATCCATAAATAAAATTAACCTCTCTATGATAACTCTAATGTCTCAAGACTTCTATTTACATCATGAAAGTCACCATTCATATTCTATATCTATTACATTACATGAATGTCTTCCACAATTATGATAATGACATTATTTTTAAATCTATAATTCTAGTTAATATAATTCCTTTAATTGAGTCAAATCTTATGGTTTTTTTTTTTCAAATTTTCTACATAAAAATCTCATTAGCAGTAGGGGTGTCAATATTTGACATGACTTGAAAATCCGACCCAAATTTGTCCCAAAAATTCTAGGTTATGGTCAACCTGTTTGATAGACAAGTCGAGTTCGGGTTCCCAAAATCGACCCATTTAAAAAAGCGGGTTGTGTTTAAGTCAACCCGCTAACTTGAAATTGACCCGGATCTAAGCCGATTTACCAGCACATACCCAATTCGTCATTTCACCTCCTTCAAGGACGAAAGCAAGAAAGGGTTGGATCGAAAGCAATGATGATGACGGGTGGGCCGACCGCAGGGACTAAGGTTTACTTTTCCTCTTCCCCATCGTTGTTCGCTGACAACGTTCCTTCCTGTCAGTTTGGAAGACATGACAAATCGCTATTTCATCTGCAGTTGGATCGGAAGCAATGACGACGATGGGCCGACAACAAGGAGCTCATCATTTTGTGGTTGGATCGGAAGCAACGACGACGACATGAGGGAGCTCGTCGTTCGTTCTGCAGTTGGATGGGAAGTAACAACGATGTCACCGGAAGGTCTGGGTCCGTGTTGCATTTTCTGCTCGTGTCGGGTATGGTCAACCGGCAACCTGGCGGGTCAGGTCCATATTGCATTTTCTGACCCATTTGCAAAAATTAGTCAAATTCAAGTCAGGTCAATTAATAGCGGGTCAATGTTGGGTTCGTTCGTTCCGAACCCAACCCGATTCGTAATCTAATTTTGACACCGCTAATTAACATATATATATATATGAAATACTATTAAATTATTTAACTGCATATGAGATTTTCTTGCAATACTAAGGTTAACTACCTCTGCAATTACAAGCCATACCCAATATTAAAAACTTAAATAATTAATAATTAATATCTTTTACAATAGCATTATAATTATTGAGTCAGCTGACAATTTATTAAAAAAAAATATACAGTACTATTTTTAATTAAATTTAACGCAAATCCAAATTTAAATGTTCTATCAAAATGGATTAGCCTTTATTTCTAATTGATCGAAATTTAAAATTTTAATTATATATATATAATTAAATCTAAATTATAAAATAATCAGATAGAAATTTGAAATAAAATCGCGAATTGGAGCGTACTTTTTCAAGAACATGTCGCTCATCTTCTCCGCTGCAGCGCTGACAGTAACCATTTGCTGCAGAACAAATATTATTTCCTTAAATACCGTTCCCTCACATCATTTCCATTGGGATTAGGGTTTACTGCGAATCAACGCGACCCATCCAACTCCTTCGCCGATCCGATATGAGCTCCTACTCCTCCGTCAACCGCAGAAACTACACTGCCGGCCACCGCGACCGCCGGGCAGCCGCCCCGAAGCAAGAATGGGTCCCTCGCGGCTCCATTGCATTGTCGCCCCCGGCCAATACCGGATCGGTACCTTCTATCGTTCAAGATATCCAAGACAAGCTTGCCCGCGGCGCTGTCGAGTGCATGAGCTGCTACGACATGGTCCGCCGTTCCACGCCCATCTGGTCTTGCTCCACCTGCTTCTCCATCTTTCACCTAAATTGTATCCGCAAGTGGGCTCGTTCACCGGCCTGCATCGCTGCGGACGACTGGCACTGCCCCGGATGCCAGACCCCTCAATCCACCCCCGCCCGGCATCTCTCATACACTTGCTTCTGTGGTCGCCGCCGTGATCCTCCTAATGACCAGCACCTCTGCCCGCATTCATGCGGCAAGCCCTGCGGGAAGCCCCTTGATGGAGGAGGGAAGAAGCTCAGATGCCCCCATTTCTGCGTCCTCCAATGCCACCCTGGCCCCTGTCCCCCGTGCAAGGCTTTTGCTCCGCGTCGGAAATGCCCATGTGGGAAGACCAATGTGGTCCGGCGGTGTTCCGATAGACGAGCGCCATTGAGCTGCGAAAAACCATGCAATCGTTTTCTTGGCTGCGGCCGCCACACATGTGAGCGAGTGTGTCACAATGGTGCCTGCGGTTCTTGCCTGGAACTCCTCACTACTAAATGCTTCTGTGGTAAGAAGGAGCAGGAGGTGATCTGCAGCGATGTGGCCATGAAGGGCAATTTTGATGAGAAGAGCAGGCTCTTTTCCTGCGACGATGTCTGTGGCCGCAGCCTCTTATGTGGGAACCATTTTTGCCGAGAGAACTGCCACCCGGGGCTTTGCGGAGAATGTGAACTGCTTCCTGGAAAGATCAGCACATGCCATTGTGGAAAGAAGAAGATTGTTGATGAGAGGATGACCTGCATGGATTTGATTCCGACTTGCTCTAATGTTTGTGGAAAGCCTCTTGTCTGCAAGACCCATTTTTGTAGAATGCGGTGCCATGAAGGAGACTGCCTGCCCTGCTCAGCCCTTGTCCAACAGCGATGCCGGTGCGGCTCTTCACGCCGCACTGTTGAGTGCTATCAGCTGTTCGACACAATGTTCAAATTTCTCTGCGAGAGAACTTGTTACCGGAAGAAGAACTGCGGCAGACACCGTTGCAAGGATCGCTGCTGCGTACTATCAAAAACTGGAGACTTCGATCCCCATCTCTGCTTGCTTCCTTGCGGGAAGATGCTGCAGTGTGGAAAGCTTACCTGCCAACTTCCGTGTCATGGCGGCCGGTGCTCACCTTGCCTCGAGACCATCTCCACCGACATAACTTGTGCCAGTGGAATGACAACTATCTCTACAAACCTGGATGCTCTTCATGTTGGAGAGAATTTAGCAACCTCCGATGTGTTTTCTGACATTATGTGGAGGCAGCCTAAAGAAGGATCTGGGAACAGTATGAAAGTTTATGTCTTCTGCAACATACTCATGGAAAAGAGAGCAGCTTTGCTACAGATTGCAGAGTGGTGGAAGCTTCTGGTCCAGATTGCTGGTTGGGAGCCCAAAAGTTTACCGACAGTTCATGCCATCTGCAAATCAAAGCCTGGTTTTCTGATGGTTGCTGCATATCCTCCAGCTCATGATCCATTGATTGATATGGACCCAAGGTGTGTGGTTGCATTACCGTGCCTCCCCATGGATGCTGATATAAGCTCTCTGGTATTGAGATTTGACAGGGTGAATGAATTGGTTTGTTTGAATGATAAGAACTCCATGGCTGTTTTGAGTGATCCTGCAAGGGTGGCAACTGCATTGCAACGCCTCAGCCATCGATTTACTTTCCAAGGTGCTGCTCCAGCTGCATCAAGGAGCAATGAATATGGCAATTCATCGAAATGGACTGTGGCTCTGGAGATGGATTTAACAGAAGCATCCATTCTTGTGTGGAGAGGAAACCATGGGAATCCAGTCCTGGAAAATGCTAACCGATGGAATTTGCTTGATGATGTAGTTTTGGAATCTGCAAGTGAATGGGAGGGGCGACTCCAATTGAAAGATGACTCTTTGGTAGAATCTTTAGTTGATAGTGGATAAGTGTGAGGAATCTTGTGACTGAGATTGGATCAATCGTCTTTAGAGATTAGAATAGCTGTTCTCATATTTTTCTTGCTAATGTCTATTGCAAGAAGTGGAAACGATCCCAACAAATTGTACCAATCTTTTGTTATTGCTTATTCCTCATTCATGCTATTGAAATTCTTCTTTTGGCTTACTATGCTAGCTAGCACTTGCATATTTTATATTTCTAACAAGTCATCTTAGAGTCAAACTAATTTATTTCAAGTCAAATAAAATTTAAAAGATTTTTTAGCAAGTTTCAAGCTCCAAGCTTAATTATCTCCCATATTCCAAATAAGTATCATTGTTTATCTTGATTTTATTAACACTGTCATTATTAGATCTCAAGTCCTGAGTGAGAAAGGTTGAGGGTTGTGTTAGGTAATCGGTAGCCAACATAGAACTTGTCGAATAATCATGACATTAATTCTTTAATACATTATGTTAATACTAGGACGTGCCCTGTAAGCAACACATTATATGGTCTGAATGCTGCGACAAGTGAGTAAAAGCCGCTACACCGTTGATTTCATTATCATTTTAATGTTTTAAGAATTTTGCTTCAAAAATGTTGTTGTTTTAGACTCTATCTATTATTCCATAATGAAATTTATCATTTATATGAAGTAATTCATAAAAATTTTGTACTAAAAATTTATTTTAAAAAGCTAACAAAAAGTTGCTCCAAACTAAAAAGCTTAGAGGTAAAAGATGCTTTTTGCATGGAATAATTCTAATTTCTGATATACCTAAAGCTACTTGAGACAACTTTGTCATGTTTATCAAAAAAAATATATTGATTTCTAGAACATTTTATTATGATCAAGCTCATCATCCTTCATTCTAATAATGTAATTATATTATGCGGTTCTCAATCAAAAATTTAATAAATTTGAAGGGCTGATTTATAAATGAAGATAGAAATATGTCAGTTATTATCGAAGGAAGTTATACTACACTTAATATATTCTCAAATTTTATAAAGCATTATGTACTTAATTATATGATTATTTACATAGCTTATTTTAAAAAAAATATTACATATAAAAAAAATTATTTTACACATAAAAAGTTCACCTTTAATCTCTAAAAAAATTGTGCCAACTTCTTAAATAAATTCCTAAAAGTTAAAATTAGATTCCCAATGAACATATCAAAATGTATAAGGTTTTATCCTTAAAGCGCTTTAGACTTTTTTTTTAAATAATTTTTTAATATAAATAAATTAAAATTTTTTGTACGAAAAAATTATTTTGAAAAGCAATAAACAATTGTAGATGTGCTTTTTAATGGTGAAAATTATGTTAAAAGCATCATTTTTTAATGTGAAAAATTCATAAAAAAAATCAAATTGAGCTTGTAATCGAGCTTATAATCGAGTCGAGCTCGAGCTCACTATTCGAGCTTGAGCTAACGAGCCTAAAACGAGCCTGTTTTCGGACACACGAGTCGAGCTCGAGCTCGACTCGACTCGTTTGCACCCCTAACCGTACCTACATACCTCAGCACGAGGAAAAAAATTGCAATCAGCCAAGAAAGCAATAATATTTAAATTTTCAATTCACTATACCCTTTAGGGGCTCTGTTTGGAGAATTTTTATTCTGGAATATCCAGAGACTAATAAAAATGCAACATATCACTCCAAAAATATACAACACTCGGTACCAAGCACGTAACCAGACAAAAGTACCTTCCAGTATCAACACAGAATAATAACTCCTCTTTGGAACAGCTTTCTCATTACTTTACTTTTAACTTAACAAACACAATTTCATTTAACTACTATTTTTTATTAATTTCTCATAATTAAATTATTTTTCTCAACAACCAATTTTATAAAATACTAAAATCGTTCCAAACACACTCTTGGTTTCATTTGGAACAGCTTTCGTTTAATTTCTAAAGCAACTTGCTAGTATAAATTTTTATATTAAAAAACTACTTTAAAAAATAATAAAAAAGCTGTACCAAACAAAATCTTACTCTACTTTAAACAGCTTATTCTAAACCTAGCTAATCGTTTCTAGATATTAAATTATCATATGAAATTTAAACAGCTGAAAGAACTTGCAATCAGCAACTGTTTTTTAGGTAAAATTAAATTCCAGTAAATTATAAACAAGACACCGCAAACAATTTTCATACTGCTTTCTAGAGCAAAAATTTCAAATTTAAGAAATTTTTTACTAAAAAACTGTTTTAGAAAGCAAGAAGAAAAACATCCCAATATTTTGTAGCAGATCTTCAGACACTCATAGCAACTAAACTGTAAAGAACAAGCAACAATCTCACAGAGCAACAAATATTCAGTACAATGAAGAACATTTAGTGAATATCTTCAGCATCCCATCTTACCTTCTTTAAGAAAGAGAAAAAGGATTGCTGATTTAATTGATTCAATGAAGTAAAAAAACGTTGCTTAATGGCGTGGACAGCATTTCAAATATTTCAGATGAATTATTATAGTTCAATTCCTACTTTGTGTTATCTATGGCACAATCACTTTTTAAATACTACGTCCAACAATCCCATTCTCGTACAAATATTCCACAAATTCATCAATCAAATAAGGCCAAGCTCCTTCAGCATCATAGTTCGACAACTCGGGATCGATTGTCTGTGCACATAAAAACAGCAGCGGGACAATCAAAAGGCAACAATGTAGTCCAGATTTGCCAAATACAACTTTTCTGTTTAACTTTTTAGAATGAATAGTAAGGAGAAATTTAGCTTTTGTACTTAAAATGCTGAACATATAGAAGAGAAGAGCTTAAGGATTCGTTTGGGACGGCTTTCTTCCTACTTTTTAAAGTAAAATTTTTGTGCTAAAAAAATGTTTTAAGTAGCAAAAAAATAAGCCGTCCCAAACGAAGCATAAATGTATTTATGTATATGCAGAAATGCTTGAACTACTTGGCGCATAAAGGAACCAGAATCAATAAATGAAGTCATAAATGTAATAAATTTAATTAAATATGGTATAGCTAAAGCCTGTAAGGGCAGCCATGTGGTTGCTTTAAGTTAAAAAGCATGAACCAAATCTATAATTTGGTTGACTGTGATTAGAAATCACATTGCCTTTTAAGGTTTTGGTTGGGACGACTTTTTTATTGCTTCTTAAAATAATTTTTTAGTACAAAAATTTTAATTTTGGTATTAAAAAGCTGCTTTAAAAAGCAATAAAAAAGTCATTCCAAACAAAACATAAATTTTAAAAATCTGAAAATCGCCGCTTCTCAAAACATATTTTTATCTGCATGCAACTAAATGAACTCAAAGAGTGATAAGAACCCTAGATCACCTTCACCAACAGGATATAAACTTTATAGGATAAAGGTAGGTTGGGTCAACCATCTGCAGCGAGATGGCAGCCATTCTAGCACACAAATGCATACAATCATCTGTTAGAAGCCATGTTTTCGACCTTATTGAACTACGAGTAAGGTTGAGGATATATGATCAAGTGTGGTTAATTGATAAAGTGCATATCATATTATCATATGAAACTGCACCAGTTAAAGCAAACTGATGAAAAAGCCAACCAGATAATTGAGCTAGAAAGGCAATTGTTGCCCATGATAAGGAGGAAGATAATGATAGTGGCAAAAAATTATGGGAAGCCACAGATTAATGAATAACTTAGGTTTTCTAATACAGAAAACACTCGATGACATCCTCTATAACTATGAATAACGTCCAATAAATAAGTCAAGTCAGCAGCATTTAAGAAGCTTAAAAAAGGGGTTTGAAAGTTAACCTTAGCAAACTCCAATAACTGAGACCAGGTATCCCTAGTGATTGATTTGTTGTGCCTTGCCTACGAAGCAAAATATCAAGTCAAAGTCATTATCATTAGTTCATCATACAAACTACAGAAGGGAAGATAAATTATGTCATAAATTAAATATTTATATTCCGTTACTCCTGCTTGCTACCTCAGCTATCTACTGCATGAGACAACGAACAAGACAATTTGCAGTATATGAAAACATTTTGCACTATTCAAAAGCAAAAAATACAGTTTCTTTAACAAGATATTATACCATAAATGACAAATGAGATATCTTAAATTCACTTGTGTAAACAGATAATCATAAATGTCACGATCCAAATGAAACGGAGCTAGCTAATCAGAACTATTACCTGTAAGAAATCACACCAATGATCAACCAAAGGCCAGTGCTTTTCGGCAAACAACAACTGCCACATGCCAATTGCAGTCTCAAGAGATAGAGACTTTTGACCCTGTAATGATTTCCATAATATAGCAACCATGTCATTCTTCAGTAAGAATATAAATTAGCAACCAACAAGTCCAGCTAAGTAGTTTTTGCACAAGTTCAAAGCCTGCCTTATTGGAAGGCAAACATGACAATAGTTTTACAAAAATATGAGAATGCTTTTGCTTAGGTGCCTAAGTTGATAAAATAAATAAATAAATAAATAATTGGTGCCTAAGTTGATGAAAAATATCGATAAAGATACTGAATGGAGGGGTAGCAAGTGGCAAGTTTTCAACTAGTGTTTCAGCTAGCACAAAAGAAAAAGCTATTACGGTTTTTCACTTGAATTGTAAAGCAGAAAAGTTATGCCACTTTCTAACTAGAAACTAAATTGCCATGGAAATGAAGCAATGCAAGATGACTATACAAAATTGACATGGCCACAGCCAAATATAAGGAAAGTATTAAAAAAAAACAAAATATTACAATTTTACCAAGGAACCATTTTAGAGACTTCTAATGATAGTTTAAGGACATGTCTTGAAGAATAATTCAGTAGAACAATTTTTATAGAGTCTAAAGGTTATCGTTTGAGTAGATCTAAAACCGAATACATGGAGTGTTATTTTAGTAGTAGTAGATCTAGTGGGGGTTTGTGACTTTGAGCGATCAGGTCATTAATAAGAGTACACATTTTAGATATCTTGGATCTCTTGTTCAGAGTGATGGTGAAATGGATGGGGATATTATTA